AAGAAAATTGAAAAAGAAAAACAATCGTCTTCTGCGTGAGAACCGCGACACAGCGAATGGAGATTATCAATTCGCTGAGCTCACGCGCGCACACATACACACACACACCGAACCGATTGCTGCGTATGCACGATTTTATTACAGCGATTTTTCAGCGCCCACGTTTTAGAAGAGTAAACACACCACCAAAAGAAAAAAAACGAAAAAAAAAAACAAAGAACCTCGAGTCGACGAAGTCTTTTAAGAATGCGGACTGAACAAGACAGCCATAATTCTCGCGAGACGCGTATTAGAAGAAGAAGAAAAAAAAAAGCGAAAATAAACGAATCAAGTTCCTCCCGAGCGTTCTTCCGGGATACTCGACGCATGGCGTCGCGTGATCTGAAGCCGCGTACACGAGATCTCGAGGATGGCGATGGAAAATATAGTTGGATAATTTTTCCTTAATATTCAGAATTTCTTTTTTCTCGTCACTTTTCATACTTTTCCCAATATCGATGATTTACTGGACGAGTGTTAATTACGAAATTGGGTTAGATCTTTGAAAAGTACAGCGAAGAGCAATTTTCTTCTGAGAAGAAATGAATTTTTTAATAAAGATACTTTGAAAGATTAGATCGAGCGAACGAAGAGATATTGGTAATTCGAAGCTATGACAGAAGTATCGATCTCCCTTGATCAGCAAGAAGAAGAAGAAAAAAGCCAGAGGAAGCATTGCTACTAAGTATCAACATTTCCTTGCTAATTTCGTCGAAGTTAGAGGAGACATTAATACTAGAACTATCAGTGCCTTTTAGCTAACTCTATCAAAATTGCAGGAGGCATCGATACTTCTATAAATACCTTATCAGTATCTCTGTCATCCTAAAAAAAAACTCTCGATCTATTCGATCATTCTTCCTAAGTAAACATCAAAATCTCGATAATAATTTCTCGAGCTATATTTTCAATCGTCCATCCTGTAATTCCAACGTTAATACGGATTACAAAGGTCGAAGATGATCGTGTCTTCTTTGAATTGTTTCGAGGCAAACGAAAAGGAAACCTCGGTTGGGAAGGAGAGAAAAGGAACTGTGAGTGAGTGATTCGAACGGGAATCGAAGAATCCGATGAAAGTTGAACGGCTGCGAGGAGATAGAGCAACGTAAAGACGCGGTCTTCGGCTATTTCGACCTCTCCTTTCGTCTCTAAGCTAACTTTCGAGGATCCGCGTTTCAAAGAGTTTTTTATCGTTCCGTAAAACTTTTTGCGATCCTACCTACACGTACGCAATATAGAGGTTATTGATTATTGTACTTTTTAGCGTGTGCGTGCGTCTAACTTGTGCATGCGTGCGCGTGATCCAGTATACATATATAATTAAAATCTATTGAGATATACATAGGGCTCGGTTGATTTTTGCACGACACTCGACGATTTAGCCGATTCGGCCGATTTCGACGCGTACGTCGCCTCGACTAAATAAATCAACGATTCAATTCAACTAATCACCGATCGAACGTGCGTTCACCTCGATCTCGTTTCTAAACAGCGTCGATACTCTTACATATCTTCTTCGTTGCAAACTCGGATGGAAATGAAGGAAGTAAAAAAAATGCTTGATCTCGATTAATGGAAATAACTCGCCAAGGAGGGAAAGACAGAGAGAAAACAATCGTACGCGCGATAGTGCGATTTTTTAACCTTGCTTTTTATCCTCGAGCGTGCGCGTCGAACGGCTGAACATTTTTCGAGCGCTGTTCGAACAAGCGGAGAACAAATCCTTTCGAGCTTAAAACAGAAAAAATCGAAAAAAAAAAAAAAAAAGAAAAAACGAGAAGATAAGCGAATATTCCGTGACAAAACGCGAAAAGAACGTGAGAACGAGGTAGAAGTAATCGACAAGAAAATAAAATGAAACGCAAGAATGCGATGAAAGAAAAAAAAAGATTGAACAATGAGGTGAACATTTATGTACACACACGGATGCACACACACGTACGGGAGAGAAAGAGAACGTGAGAGAGAGAGAGAGAGAGAGAGAGAGAAAGGAAAAACGAGTTCGAGAAAGTCCCCCATTGATTTTCGCGATGGCGGACGCGCGTTGAACGAAAAACAAGATTAAAAAAAAAAAACAAGGTATACATATATATGTGAATTCTTTAGCGGACGTGCGATCCAACTATGCCTCGAATAAAATCTCCGAGCGACGTCCCCTCCGACTAAAACGAAAAATGTGAAAAAACCAGAAAAAAGATGCAAAAAAAAAAAAGATATAAGATTATGATATGTAATAGATTGTAAACGTTCACTACTATTCTTATTGATATTATTGTCATTATTATTACTGTCATCATTATTATATTGTCATTGTTATTGTTACTATGATTACCGTCACGCGCATTTTAGAGGAATTATTCACGTGCAATCTGCGATGCCGAATTCCGCGCGACATTCGTGTTTTTACTTCTTGAGCGTTGCGATGGAGAGAGAGAGAGAGAAAGAAGAGAGAAAGTTGAAGAAGGATGAAACGACGAGATTCGCAGACACTCGATGGAGGAACAATTGCAAAATACGTTGTTCAACGCGAAACGGTAGAGAAGATTCCACGTTGAAAGTAGCGAGAATTTCTTTTCTCAACAACGCCAGAAAGCAAGCCTCTCGGGTATTCGAAGTCGCTAATTCTTCTGTATTCGCTGAAAAATTCTCCGATCGTTGATCTTCTCCGATGTAACTCGTTCGCTGATTTTCTTAGTGCCTGAAAATTAGAAATAATTCTCTCAGTATACATACATAATATAGCTTCGTCGAGATAGATAAATTTTCAAATCCTTCAATTCTCTCTGTATCTCTGCAATTTCTAATCTCAACTAATTTGCCAAATTTACCTGAAACGCTAAACTTAGCTTGTTACACGCTAGACTATTAATAGAGGAATTATCACAGTAATCTAAATTAAATAAGAGTAATCTAATCTATTCGGTTCAACGCACTGAATACGTCATAAAGCATCTAACGACGCGCGATGGATCAACGATCAAGAGGGATAGATCCAACGCGAGAGTGTTTTCTGGTTCCGGTTTTCCATACTCCATCCGGTGTCGCGAGATCGAAAGCGACGAATCGACGTTTCGATAAGGGAAAAGGCAGTCCGCGAAGCACAGCTTCCCGTTCGCCTTCACTCGATCCTTTCACGGTGAAACGTCGATCAATGTCGGCCCTGTTGGGTAAACGCCAACTGGAAGGGAAAAGAAAGAACGATAAAAACGAGTGAGAATGTGTGCGAGTATACGATAGAGCGAGTGTGAGAGTGAGAGTGGAGTGAGAGCATCGATTAGAGAGAAAGAGAGAGAGAGAGAGAGAGGTAGAAAGTGTGTGATTATTAAAGAAAAAAAAATCTCTCATCGGTACATTTAATATAACGCTAATTCATTATTACAGACATTATTGGATTTACGGTAAACGGATAAGCGATTGATTACAATTTTGTCCTAATGTTCAGAGAAATAAAACAAGGAAATACACACCCGTTCCCGTTCTACACTTCCGGTTCTACATCGTATAACCACGTTCTTTCTCGTCTGTTGCTCGTTTCGACGTAACAATTATATCAACGGTTAGAATACCTTCACGAAAATTGGAGATTTCCCTTTAAAATTTTCATCTTCTATATTTCGAATGTGTATATTACGTCACCGTATCTTTAGAATTTTTATTCTCTATGCTCGAACCTG